ATTTTTAATTTTGATAAAGTATAATTTATTTTTTCCTTTGGTTGTTTGTGCTCTTGGTATCACATCCAAGAAACCATTGCTATGCCATGAAGATTAATGGCTATGTTTTTTTTCTGAGTTTTAATTCTTACATTTAGATCTTTGATTTATCTTAATATTTGTATATGTATAGGGGTCCAAGTTCATTCTTGTCCATGTTTTCCCAGCATCATTTTTTTAAAAAGACTATTCTTTCTCCTACTGAATTGTCTTGGCACCTTTGCCAAAAGTCAATTGACCATAAATATAAAGGTTTTATTTATTTATTTATTTATTTATTTATTTATTTATTTATTTATTTATTATGCTAATCACCATACCTCATTAGTTTCTAATGTAGTGTTCCATGATTCAGTTTGCATATAACACCCAGTGCTTCATGCAGAACGTGCCCTCTTTTAATACCCATCACCAGGCTAACCCATCCTCCCACTAGGTTCTCCCTCTAGAACCCTCAGTTTGTTTTTCAGAGTCCATAGTCTCTCATGGTTCATCTCCCCCTCTGATTCCCCCCATCATTCTTCCCTTCCTGCTATCTTCTTTTTTTTTTTAACATATAATGTATTATTTGCTTCAGAGGTACAGAGCTATGATTCAATAGTCTTGCACACTTCACAGCGCTCACCATAGCACATACCCTCCCCAATGTCTATCAGCCAACCACCCCATCCCTCCCACCCCCCACCACTCCAGCAACCCTGTTTGTTCCCTGAGATTAAGAATTCCTCATATCAGTGAGGTCATATTATTTATGGACTCTGAATTACATCTCACTTATATATGCTTTTGGCAGTACAGCTGTGTTGATTACTATAGTTTTGAAATCAGGAAGTCCAAATTTTTCCAATCTTTATGCATATTCTTATTGTTTTATTACATTGATTGGAACCTTCAACATAACCCTGAATAGAAGTGGCGAGAGCAAACATTCTTGTCTTATGTTGTTCCTGACCTTAGGGGGAAAAGATTTAATATTTCACATTACATTTTTTTAAGACGATTGTTGTTATACTGAGGAAGTCCCCCCCTTTTTTTTTTAAAGATTTTATTTATTTGACAGAGAGACACAGCAAGAGAGGGAACACAAGCAGGGGTAGTGGGAGAGGGAGAAGCAGGCTTCCCATGGAGCAGGGAGCCCAATGCAGGGCTCGATCCCAGGACCTCAGATCATGACCTGAGCCAAAGGCAGACACTTAATGACTGAGCCACCTAGGCGCCCCAAAGAAGTTCCCTTCTGTACTTGCTTTGTTTTTTTTTTTTTTTTTTAAACATGAATGGGTTTGAATTTTGTCAGATGCTTTTTCTGCATCTACTGAGACCATTTTTTCTCTTCCATTCTGTTAATGTGGTGAATTACACTGACTTTTCAATGTTAAACCACACCTTTCTTAGCATCTTATCCTTTATATTTCAAGGTTCAATTTGCCAATATTTCATTAAGAATTTTAAAATCTATATTCATGTGGGATACTGGTTTGTAATTCTCTTGTAGAATGTCCTGGTCAAGTTTTGATATCAGGATTATTTGGCCTCATAAAATGAGTTTGGAAGTGTTCATTCCTGCTCTAGTCTCTGAAATAGACAGGATTAGTATTTTATCTTCTTTAAAAGTCTGATAAAATTTACTGGTGAAGCCATCTGGCCCTGGAGTTTTCTTTCTGGGAAAGTTTTTGATTAGAAATTCCATTTCTTTAACATATTGGTCCATTTAGCTTTTCTTTTTCTTCTTGTGTCAGTTGTATTTTTTTCAGGAATTTGTCCACTTCATGTAAGTTGTCAAATTTATTGGCATAAAGTTGTTGAACTATCCCTTTAATATCTGTACAATTCATTAGCATTAAAAGTAAAATTTCTGCATACAAAAATAAAATAGATGACAAATGATGAATCAGGGGAAAATAAATATATAACATATAGCAGAAAAAGATATATATTGTAGGAGCAAACAGTCTAGTGACAAAAAGAGGGAATTATGATTGTGACAAATACCAGGAGAGGTACAAAGAAAACAACACATAGGATGGATACACTGGCCAATTTAGGAAGTCAGAATCATGATGTCCAAGTGATGAGTTACATTTGCTAACTTGAGGTAAAATAATATAATCAAATTTATGGATATTTAAAAAGCTGAGAATTTAGCTCTCAGATATAATTATTTCACATTGGTCATCGACCTATGGGTGTCTACAGTCAACTGCTCCCCTTTCACTGGCATATCTTTAATTAAAAATAAAAGTTTTTTTGTAAAAATGATAGACATTATAAAAAAATTCAAATGAGATTCAAAAGTCCAAAAGACAAAATAAAAATCATTTGCATTTTGGCCAACATCCTTCCAGATCTTTTTGTACATTTATATACACATATATACACATATATATTCATGTCAAGATGATGCTGTTCTTGCTGATTTGTATTCTCCTTTTATGGGGGACCTATATGCTATGAACATATTTTCATGTAAATAAAGATTTTCATCATTATAAATAGGTTAAAGGTATTCCATTGTGCACATGCACTGTAATTTAACTAGCATCCTAGTGATGGCACTTACATTGTTTCCAAAAACACTTATTACAAAAAAGGGAGTGAGGAACATCCATATGAATGTTTTCTTTTTGTTATTTTCCTTAGAATGAATGGACTAGGAAATGAGATTTTGGGGCAAAGGCTAATGAAATTTTGGTAAATAAGATTGTCCCAATCTCAACCTTAACACCAGTAAGTGCACAATAGTAATTGTAACCCCATATCACTATGTACCCTGAGGGACAAAAAGGATCTGTTTGGAATGTTGAACATCTTTCATTTAATTAGATGTTCATTTTTCTTGGCTTAAAAATATCCTATTGATTTCCTTTGCTAATTATATTGAGGTGTTTTTAAAATTGATACTTTTTTTAAAATGAAAGATTAGAGAGAGACGCACACACGCGTGTGTGGGGGGGAAGAGGGAGAGGGAGAGTCTTAAGCAGACTCTGCACTGCGCACAGAGCCCATTGAAGGGCTCAATTTCACAACCCTGAGATCACAACCTGAGCCGAAACCAAGAGGGGGATGCTTAACTGACTGCACCACCCAGGCGCCCCTTAAAATTGATATTCTATGAGCTCTTTGTATATTAGGAATATTTTTCCTTCTTTTTCCACGTTACAAATGTATTTTCCACTGGTTCATTATTTGTGTATAGAAGATTACAACTTGTATATAGAAGATTACAATCTTCATGTGGTTAATTTTTACCATTTTTTTCTGTTATGGTTTCTGGTTCTTGTTTCATACTTAGCAAAGGCCTTTCTCAGCTCAAGACTATAAAGATACTCTCCTTGATTTTCTTGTAGTGTTTTTTTGGCTTCATTCTTTACATTTAAATTTTTGATTCATCTGGTATTTGAGAAAGGAGATAGATAGAAAGTCTGTCTCCATGGGCTTGTTATTTCTCAGATAATCTCTTTCCCACTTAGCAGTGATTTGTAGCATATAGTTTACTGATTACCACCAAGACTTCTGGAGTCCAGGTCTCCTGGCTTCAACACTTACCAGTAATGGCTCTGAGTAATGTTGTAAAATCAGATAATAATTGCACCTGTCTTAGGGTTAAATAATATAATCTGAAAAAGTGCTCTGGTACTTGATACCTAAATGCTCAGCAAATGTGAGCTACTATTATTAAACACTTGTACATGGCACAGCAGTTTGTTTCTGGATTCTATATTCTGTTCACTGATACTATCTTCCACATCTTTGTAATCCATGTGTTGACAGTCCATTACCCAACTCATTGTCTCATGGAATGGCTCCTCTTTCCTCATTTCAACAAAAAAAGTTCCTATCTCAGTTGCCTTTCTAATCATAGCTACAGCCTAGGTAAAAATAAGCTGTGCTTCACAATGCAATGAGAACCGAAACCCCGAACCAAGACGCTGAACAAACGTGGTAAAGAAGAGTACCTATTTCTTCTACCACGTATTCTTAAGAGACTGAAACTCTACCTCATTTCAGCCCTTGGTATATAACTGATGCTCTCAAAAACTAGTACCTTCTCTCCCCATTCTAGTTTACAACCTTAAATAAAGAGTTGACAAATGTTATGACTCTGGAGCAGGACGCGAGGGGCGGGGAAGGATTCACCCAGGGCCCCGGTCCTAACCTGGCCAGTTCCTCCTGGCTAGCTGAGCTGACGCCCCCAGGCTGCGTGGCAGACAGGCGACTCCAGGACCCATTATATGTGCACAATCGGGGTCGAAGGCAGCGGCAAGACCTCCTCCGAGCCCTCAAAGAGTTAAGAGTGTGCGAAGAGCCGGCAGAGGGAAGCGCGAAAAGGGGAAAATTCCCTAGAAACATAGCGTTGCGAGGAGGCGAGGGAGACCGGCTTCCCGCTCAACCACGCACTTCAGTCTGGCTGGTTGGAAGTAAGTCTCTGCGTCCCCCCAAGGCTCTGTTGTAGCGCCGCCCCGACCCGGCGTTCCCGCCGTTGTCAGCCGCCTCTCCCGCCTCCGCTCCGCTCGCCTCCTCCCTCTAACGGCTGCTGAGCGCACCCGGCGTCCGCGGCGTCGGTGACGTCGGCGTAGGGGCGGGACTTCCTGCCTTGCGCTCTCTTACGACTCCCCACCGAGGCGCTCCGCTGGGCTTGAAGGGCGGGGGGCGGCGGGCGGCGGGCTGAGGTTGGCGTGTCGGCGGCTCGGCGGCTCGGCGGCTCGGAAGCTACTGGGCTGCCTCGCTACCCTGAGAAAGCCCGTCCGCCGAGGTGGAGCGAAGCTCTCTCTCCACCGCCGCCCTTTCTGCCCTCGGAGCTCTCTCGGGAAACCTCACGTTTCCCTGGAGTCGGGAGCCCGCGGGGCGCGCTCGGCCCTCCTTTTCCTGCTCCTCCTCTTCAGTCCGCGTCGCGAGCGGCTGCAGGCCGGGCCAGCACCCCGCGTGTGGAACTGCATCCCTTAGCCCCAATGCCGGTGCGAGAAGAGCTGAGTGGGTGCCCGTGGTTGGAGCTGTGCGGGTGTTCCCCGGTGGCAAGTGCGGCCACAGCACCGGGCGCTTTTAAGTTCTTTGCGCGCAAGTTGCAAGGACTGAGTGCGAGTCTGGTACGTAACGTCTTTCTATGGGGACGCTGTTTTGTCCGTAGTTTTGGAATGCTCCCCATTTCTTCACAGTTTGCCCTTGAATTTTTTGTACTTTTCCGGTAAAGTAATTGGAGCGGGTGTGAGAAACGTGGGCTGTGAGACATGTTCTGTAGCCAGTTAAGTGCACGTGAAACTTTTTATGGAGTTTTTTTTTTTTTTAATTTATGTATGTATGTAAGTAATCTCTACACCCAGTGCGGGGCTCGAACTCACCACCCCGAGATTAAAAGAGTCGCATGCTCCTCGGACTGAGCCAGCCAGGCGCCCCTTTTTGGAGTTTTTTGATGCGCTCCAGCGCGGTGCTTGTGTAGCTAGTTCACTAACTGGCTGAACGTGTGGTACCACCAGTTTAATTTGTGATGAAAAAACTAGCTAACCGCTTTCTGTGGCCCCGCAGACAGTTTCAATAGTGATATTGGCAGTCATTTCAGAGATAACGTCTAGACTATGTAAATGAATGCCTGGATTGAATGGACATTTTGATAAATCCTTACCAGCTTTTGACCATAATAAATGGGCACTTAGTTCTTCAAAATGCCCACTGCCAAGTATTTTTAAAGCCTTAAGTTACATGAGTTGTGATTATGAAGCCGTTTCAGTAAAATCTGAGATGTCTAGTATGCAAGAAACTTGTTCTTAATTTCTTATATGTGTTATAGTTGATAGTGTTTAGACTATGAACACAAAGTACTTGAGATCTAAAACTGAGTAGGTTGTTAAAGCAGTGCTTCTGTTACCAAGCAACATCTCCGTAAACAAGTCTAATATTCAACTAGAGTATAATTAAATGTAACTATCCTACAATTATCTGGATTCAGAATTCTGTAAATTCATGGGTTTAGCCTGTAGGTGGTTACAGTTAATACGCACCTTCTGTACTGAAGTTTGATTTCAAACTCATTTTGTGTGGAATTACTAGAATGTTTTGAATTTCAGTGTCATACAGGACTCTCCAGAGAGTTGCAAATGGATTTGAGTTACCCTTTGGTTATATAGGACAGTGTATGTCCGGTATTCTTTCTTTCGAATATTTTCTAATCAGATGAAGTGTGCAGGCTATATTCAGTATAATATTCCATTATACTCAAATAATAGAATAATACCAATTTAGGGTTACATAGCGCATTGGTAGATTAAAACAGTATCCACAAGTGTTTTTAAGCCTTGGTTGAGCCAATAACCTCACTCCTTCTCCGCCCATTAAACCTTTATTTTTTATTTTTTTAAGTTTTTCTTTTTTTAAAGATTTTATTTATTTGAGAGAGCGAGAATGAGAGAGAGAGAGAGAGCACATGAGAGGGGGGAGGGTCAGAGGGAGAAGCAGACTCCCTGCTGAGCAGGGAACCCGATGTGGGACTCGATCCTGGGACTCCAGGATCATGACCTGAGCCGAAGGCAGTCGCCCAACCAACTGAGCCACCCAGGCGCCCCCATTAAACCTTTATTGATATAATTTGTATGACTGTATGGCAAGTAGTTTTCAGAGCACTTTTTCATGATTTTTTTGAGTGCTATAACCTTTCAAGTATGTCAGAAAGGAAGTGAGAACATTTGAGACACTGAGACTGAATGACTTCTTTGAAATCAAACTATTGGTAATGGGAATTGCAACTTGAAGTTGCATGTCTTACTACATTGCAAAAATCCGTTGACTTCATCTTAGTTCCCCTCCCTTTCTCTTTTCCATATGCTGATGTTGAAGTAATGAAATATTCAAGAGTTGGGCAAGACAAGCAGAGAAGAAAAATCAAGAATGACTCGTATAAAATTCTTAGTAATCAGAAGTCAGCATTTTGTCATGGGAAGTTCTAATTCAAGAAGTTTAGAAGAATGAAATCTTAACAGAAAGATTAATTAATTGTCAGAATTCTTTGTGTGTTTTCTAGGTACTGTCTCTGCCTAAAGTAATTGAGTTTAATTTTGTCATACATAATGTATTAAGTTCAGTAAATCTGTCAAATTGTCTAATCTGTGTGTACTTTACGGCATGTGTGTGTGTATCTGTAAAAAATTTCCTGAAGTACTCTTTCCTACCAATTAAAGTTCACATTTCTTAACCTGAACTCTTCAAAATCTCCTCTCACTCTGCCATTTCATGTTCATGTTCTTTATAGAAAAACTCTTCTGTGTCCAGACTGATTTCCTCACTATCCTCTAAACCTGCTATGTGCTTTCTCCCTTTCTTCCAAATCTTTGAGTCATTCCGCCTTCCTGACCTGATTTCTTCCCTTCTTTCCTAAAATCTGAATTGTACCTTTTCTATAAAGTTCAACTCCACCATAATCTCCGCAGGTGAGGAAAAGTTCTCTACTCTCTTAGAGTCTCTAGCTGGCCCTAAGAGTTAAATTGACATAAAACTGATTAACAGAGAAAAGCATACAAGTTTAAAAAAATTTTTACATGTACTTGGGGGCCTTCACAGGAGAATGAAGACTTGAAGTAACCAGAGCGGAAACGTTTTATACCTTTTAGATAAAGAAACAATAAATTTGTGTAAAAAAGACAAAGGGTTTTGTGTTGAGTAATAAATTGTGGAGAAGTGACTAGGAAGATAAAGATTAGTTTAATAAGGCTTGTTTGTACAGATTTCTCGGCTTTGATCCCCCATCTCTGGTGATAAGAATGTCTTCTGTACTCCTGGTACAGGTTTTGTTCTTTTTTTTCTTCTGGGTTTTTTATCTTCTGTTTTCAAGAAGAAAAAGGAGGGTCAGAGTGCCCCTTTTTGCACCTGCTATTGCTTAAATGCTTTTAACTCAATCAGTACACCAAAGTGGCATATTTTAGGGTAACATGTTCTGAACTCTTTCTTCTCTGAAATCCTGTAGGATGTTTTCATTAGCCATTCTCATCTGATACTTACACTTTATATTGCGATTTATCATTTCTGTATAAGCCTCACCTTCCTAACTAGATTGTAAGCTCCTTAAGGGCAGGACACCAGATCTCAATGAGCTGTATCCTTAGTATCTTCCAAATAGAAGTTGCTGAATAAATGATTCTTAGAGATGAGAAATGTGCATTTGTACTTTTCCCCCTCTTCCATAGTGTAATAGAAGTAAAAGAAAATCTTTGAGAGAGTGAGAGAGAAAGGGCAACTGTAAACCATAAGAAAGGGAATTAGAGGGAATTCATTGGGATTGGAAGGAAAGATTCTATTCCTAGAAAGTGTGATATTTGAGAATTTCCCAAGACAATATCAGCAGTGAGGACTCCTCAGGAATGCTGGCACTACTCTCAAGTGGGCTTGGGGAGTTTGGTCAATTTCCTGGTTCTTCCTTAGTAGAATCTTAATTTTAAAAACACTTCCCCCAACTCTCTCCTCCCTCTACCTCCCTTGTAAAATTCCTCTCTCCCTATCTCTCCATTTTACCCTGTTCCATTTTATGTTTTTCCTGGTCAAGACTTATTTATGAATTATGTCAGTACTTTTATTTGGCCCTCATAAAGTAGCCATCATCTTAAGTTTTATAATTTTCCATTGGGGCTGCCTCTATGGGTCATGGAGAGATCACAAGCTGTATAGTCTAGCTAGTCTAGCTTTTTTTTTTTTTTTTTAAGTTTAACTGAGATGTAATCCAGTAGTAAAGAAATTAAGAAAGCAGGAAGTGCCCAGTTTCTGCCTATTATAACTTTAAATTTCTTTTGCACTAAAATTCATGGAGTTGGGAGGAACCTAAACCTATCCATTTCCTTTTGGAAAGTGCCTATCACTCTCAAAATATGTCTCTAAATAAATTCTGGGTAATTTTTGTAGTCTTACTGTAAATCCTGTATCTGATGCTTATGACAAGGAATTGTTTCATTTAAAGGTATAAGAAAGTAGAGTCTCAGTATTTTTATAAATCTTGGTTTGAGTCACTTGTTTTTTAGTAAGCTCCTATCCTAGCTTCTGAGTTGTTGCCCAGTAACACAATTGCAGGATAACGTAGCAACCACTGAAAACGTTAGCAGTGGGCTATAGGGATTTTCCTGCTAAGTTGAAGTGCTTATCTTTAGCATTCAGTATGTTTTTCTCATCTGAATCACATTTTGGTTTAAGGCAGACAGTTGAGATATTGTTAAAGAGCATACAATATAATTAATATTTTTGGAGTGCTGACAAATTACAATTTGCACATTATTTTTCACATACTGTTGTGTGATGTATATTAAATTATGTATGAAGGATATGTGAAAAGACTGGTTCAATTAAAGATTAGTCTATATTGGTTAGAAAAACTATTAAGTAATAATTAACATCGAAGTTCTCTACAACTGATAAAGCCAGCAAGAGCTGGGGTGGATGCATTTGAAATGGTTCTTCTCCAATTAATATTCTTATGTTACTTCTAGAGGGTCCTGGTAAGCTTAGATCAGTAAGCATGAACTAATAGGCATTATGATTTTGTGGGAAGCGAACTGTGATTCAGGAGACGAAGACTTGACTGAGTTAGTCACTTAACCTTTCTTGGCCTGTTTTTTGAAAAAATAAATCGTTGAAGGTTTTTTCACAGAGGTTGTATATTTACAATTTATTTTTCATTTATTTTTTAAAGGTTTATTTTAGAGAGCGCAAGTGCATGTGCATGTGGGGGAGGGCTGGCAGAGGGAGAGGGAGTCTTAAGTAGACTCTGTGCTGAGTGCAGAGCCCAACCTGGGGCTCAGTCTCATGACCCTGAGATCACAACCTGAGCCAAAACCGAGAGTCGGATGCTTAACTGACTGCACCACCAAGGCGCCTTGTATGTTTACAATTTAAAGCACATTTTTATTTCTCCTGTTCATTGGTTTAGCCAATTTTTGAGTGCCTGTCATGGGTCTTACACTATACTAGATATTGGGAGAATTGTGAATAAGACATCGTGCCACGTCTCAAGCAGTGCCTGGTGGGAGAAAATGAATGGTTATATATAATTTATATATAGTTACTTGTAATATAAATTGAAAATGCTATAGAGGTAAATGAAGGTGTGTTTTGGTGG